CAAATGAATATTGTTTCAACCTATAAGAAAAGGAGACTAGCATTATTATACCAATAAAGAAGTACATTGGTTGTGTTGGATAACTAGAAGTCTAGAAGTTAAGAACAAATATGTGATAACCAAAGACAATGGAAAATATGATAGGATTCACTGTGTGGGCTTTGTTTATTACCCCACCACTAGAACTTCAAAATAGGGAGTAGAGGAGCATCTACAAAATTTGAAACATAGGTAGCCATCATTCTTTGGAAACTTTTATAGGAGGGCCAGAAAACTGGAAAACTTGTCCAGTATGGCTTTAATAACATTGCATTTTATACTTGCTTCAGGAAGTCACAGAAGAGATTTTGAGCTGCCATTGTTCAGTTTATCCACAATTTCAAAAGCCACCGATAACTTTTCAATCTACAAGAAGCTTGGACAAGGTGGATATTGACCTGTCTATAAGGTAAAAATGTTAGAGTAAAAGATAGTATTTTAGGAGATTGAAAGTGGAATCCTGTGATACTTCAAGTTCAATAAGTGAATACCTTTACGAATGCTCAAGTTGATCTTAGGGAATGCTAGAGGATGGACAAGAAATTGCTGTGAAAAGGTTGTCAAAATCATCAATGCAAGGACTTGATGAATTCAAGAATGAAGTTATCTGCATTGCCAAACTTCAACATAGAAATCTTGTGAAGCTTCTAGGATGCTGCATTAAAGGAGAGGAAAAGATGTTGATTTATGAATACATGCCCAACAAGAGCATGGACTTGATTTTATTTGGTGAGAATTTCTAACTCCAGTAAAGCTAGCTCAAAAGTACCTTAAATTTCGACTATCAATTTAGCACAGCTAGATACTACTTTATGTCATTATTCAGGCCATATCAATTATTGATTTTCAGGACACCCTAGTACAGTAGGATGAAGTATACTAACTCATATAATAATTTGGCAGATCAAACAAAGAGTATGCTACTTGACTGGTCTAAGCGCCCCCAAGTTCTTAATGGAGTTGCTCGGGGACTTATGTATATTCATCAAGATTCTCTGTTGAGAATTGTTCATAGAGACCTCAAAGCTAGCAACACATTACTAGACACTGACATGAATCCTAAGATATCAGACTTTGGGATTGCTAGAAGTTTTCGAGGGAATGAAACACAGGATAAGACAAGCCGAGTGGTTGGAACATTTTATTCTCAGTAACACAACAAAATGAGTGCATTTTTATTGCTTATAATGCCCTTGTTTGATCCCCATTATTTGAAAAAAATGAATTCTTCTACAGTGTTTTAACATCATTTCAACCACACAGTTTTCAATAAAATAATATTACACGTAAATTCGAAACATTTCCTTATTTTTTAACCACACATTTCTCATCAATACAATATTCAAAAATTTATTTTCCCTCTCAAAATGGGGCTCAAACAAGGGCAATATTAGTTTTTGACTAACATTTTCAAGCAGTGGCTACATGTCACCAGAATATGCCGTCCATGGTCGATTCTCAATGAAATTTGATGTATTTAGTTTTAGCGTTATAGTGCTAGGAACTGTGAGTGGCAAGAGAAATTGTGGATTTTCGAGCATAGATCAACATCGCAACCTTTTTGGACATGTAATTCTTGTGTCTTAGATACGTTTATATATGTTTAGATTTTATCCAAAAAACTAACTGTTTTGACAAGGCCCATTAAAATGATTAATTTTCTGCAGGCATGGACGCTTTATAAGGAAGGAAGATCATTTGAACTAGTCGACACTTATCTACATGACTCTACTTATCTATCTGAAGTGCAACGATTGATCCATATAGGTTTGTTATGCGTGCAACAATGTCCAGACGATAGGCCAAGCATGAATACCGTGGTCGTGATGTTGAACAATGAAGGTATGTTACCGCAAGCAAATCAACCTGGTTTTTTTTTAAAGAAAGAGATGTATTTGTACATGAAGGCACCAACCGCACAACTAGTATTGATGCAGTGTGTTCAACCAATGAACTTACCATTACAGAGCTAAAAGTACGATATAAATGATGTTTCTAGATTATTTTGGTGCCACTACAATTGAATATTATGTGTCCTAGTTCATTGTTGTAGAATTAGATATTAAGTGTTCAAGGTCACGAACTGATCGTACAACTATCACACAATTTTCTACAATTATACAATTTCAGTATCTGATGGGCTTTAGCTTATAATTAGCCAAAAAATGGCAAATAAATTTTTTTTTGATTGATTTAAATGGACAAATAAAAATTGAACCAAGCTTGAGTCTCATAATTGAACTCATTGAAAATTTTACTATTTTTCTTTGCTTAATAACATCTGTGCTTAGAGTTCAGTGAGCACAGTTTTTACTTTGAACGTTAGAAACAAATTTGACTGAAACTAGGAGCCAAATACACTCACTAACGTTAAATAAAAAGTCAACAAAGGCAAATCGTAGAATAGGCGAAGAGAGAATTTTAGGATATTGAAATAAAAAGCTGAAGATCAATCCATAATAGATACCATCTTAGTTTAATTTTTCCCTTCTAAAAAATATAGTCGGGTTCCTTTGGCAGATTGCTTTAGTTCCATTGAATGCTTTGGAAGTTTGCTTTTATTTCTTCTAAGATGAAGTTGAATCGAGAATCAATGATTATAGAATTTGACACGAATAGCCCCATATAACACTGCTGGACCCTAAACGTGGCATGACCCATGATAGATACCAATTAAAAGTTGAACCCACCATCAAGGTTACTACAACTATAATATGCAACTTTTTATAAATTATTTTTAATAGAATTCGACATTATCTTCCCTGTAAAAAGGGCTAACCAATCATAATCCGCTATATTCAAATCTCAAATATAACAAAATGCAATAGAGATAAGCTGAAATCTCATCTTTCATCAAGAAATAACATGAGATGTGCATATGAATACAAAATATATAGTGAGCCCCATAACTATTTACAAGTGATACAAAATCGCATCTAAACATGAACATGTGTCCCAAAACACCGACTACATGTTTTATGAAGTGAGTCATGCTAGCAAACCTTGTCGTGTGACTCTGACTCCAAAATCAAAGGCTCAACTCCAAAAGGTGCTCATATACTCAATTGCTGCCAGATAAAAGAAATATGGGAAAATATATGAGTTGATAGCTCCATAAGTGAAGAAGTTCGAAAATAATTATTCATTTATACATTTTTTTTTATAGAAAATCAAGCTCATATCATTCAATAATTCACAAAATAACGTTATCTAATTACAGCAAAAAAGTGAGACATTCACATAATGTTGTAAAATATCATCTCAAGTCATGGTATAAATATAAGCCTATAATCATACTATAATTTCATCACATAAAATGTATTGGAAATCTACCAAAAAGTACCATCTGACTGAAATCATAAGCTGGTCATATGCGCATAGACTGCCTCTTAAGCTAAGCACTCCGGACACGGTCATCAAGCCTCATCAGTGAATGGAAACCGATCTCAAAGACCTCTTATAATCAATTCTAGAATACGACCAAGATCCCTTAGTGAACTATATGTACACGGTCAAGACCCCGTTATCCACAGTCAAGACCCCTCAGTGTAGTATAGAACACGGCCAAGGCCACTCAATGAACTAGAAGAAATATATAATCATGAGTACACTACTGGTCAATCTCAATATTACATGTCTGACATATTAAACAAATCTCAATTTCACATGTCTCACATACCAAGTGACAAATGTGCCATAAATAATCTTTGAAATTTCACATGTATTATAATAAAAGAAACATTCATGGTAATCATATAATTGAACAAATAATTCACATAATAGAATATAATTTAATAATATACTTAATTTATAAATATCTTGAAATTATTTAAGTTTTTCCACTTACAGAACTATGTACACAAATTGATGCAGGAGGATCTGAGTCGAGCGATGTTGATCTATCCGACATCACATTGATGGTTCTGAGATACCATGAGGTGGCGGATGAGCACAAAGATGAAAAATAATGCAATCTTTCCTTAATTGAGGCAATTTTGACATTTTTTGGTAATTTGGTCATAACTTTGGCTACGGTTATCAGAATCGCTATTATGACCCCAATCCGTAAAGCTCTATTCGGTGTGCAAGTTGTGGTCACCAACTATGCTAGGTGGGCATCAATTTCGAGCCCAAAATCCGTTGTTTTCCTTTTTGAAATTCAATTTTTAGTTATTTTTACTATTTATGGCAATATTTCGTTTCCTTTTTTCCGTAGTTAGAGAATCCGAATTGAGCCAAATTTTTGGCAACTTATGTTTCATATTTTATTTCGGTGTGATTTTTTGAGATTTTGCCATTTTTGATAATTTTTCCATATTTTTGAATTTTCTTAACTATTTAACCCGACTTGTGGGTTAATTTCAGAGAATTTCTCTATGTTCCAAGACGTTTTCTTTCGTATTCTCTTTGTGAATCANTCTTTCATTTAACTCAATTACATAGCTTATTATATTTAATTCAATAGTTTTCTTTTCAATAAAATTGAATTTAAACTAACAATATAACAATTATAAAATTAAACATAACTTTTCAATAAATAAGTTTTTACGTATATTTGAATTTGAAGAATTCAAGCCTAATTGTAAAAGAACTTATTTCCTAACACGTTGGATTTTTTTTTTCTATTTTTCTTTCTTCTCCCTCTTTTTTTTCTTCCTCTTTCCTCTTCCTATTTCTCCCTGCTCTCATCTTTCTCTCAGTGTATGTTTTTTGTGTTTGTGTGTGATTGTAAATGGATCTGCATGGGTGGATTGACATAAATCAATCCACCGCCTACCATTTCCCCCCTTTTTTAATTTAATTTTTTTCTTTATTCTTTTAAAGAGATGAACATCTCTGACTTTTCATTTTTGTTTTTTTTAAAGTTAAAGTATTACAAAATTGAACCATAACTAAAGTGAATGGTGCTGGTTTTGTTTAAAATATTGACAAATTTTCGTGGACACATTCTCCTCCAGAATTAGATTGTTAAATTCCTTTTCTTTTTTAAATTTCGATTCAGTTACATAACTAAGATTCCAAATTATTTATGCACATTCAGAATCAATTGAAAATTTGGAGTAAATTATTAGGGTTTTCAGAGTTTGAAGAAGTGCAAAGGCATTCTGTTGTTTGCTTTTAAATCAAGTGGTTTTGGATTCATCCAATTCACGATTCTCGGTGCTAGAACCAAAACCAGTTGATTTTTCATTCTATAAACCAAAATAATTTAAAATTTAACATGAACCGATTTAGTTGATTCCGATTCTTTTGCTCGCCCCTAAGGAAAACCATCGGGCACATAGGTAGATTTTGGACGGAATGTAAAGGCTATGACGTTACTTGAACTCTAATGAACCTTGAGAAATTAAAAATGGAATAAAATAATTTGAGCAACTAAAATGAAATTTCATTGAAACTCAAAGTGACCAATAGTATTTTTTACCCAAAGAAAAAATCATCATTGCATTGGAATATATAATTCTTTATACTCCTTCAAAAACTCACCCATTTTTATAGATCCTTCTTGGCCTTAAATATGTTCAATTAAATGCTTGTTGACTTTATAATTGGCACTTGCACGGTTATAAGGAAATTAATTAATCATTCAATGTGCCATCATTTCACATAGGAAGGTAGGCCGAACCAAGAGACGATAATTGGCATGTTTTGAATGTTAAAACTGTAAGTATTATGCTCTAAATTCAATCAACTTTGGACATAAATACTTTTATATATAATTAATGCAATTAAATGGCAGATCTATTATTTAGTTAATAGACAATTAAATAAATAATAGAGTCCTGTAATTTGTTAATCACAAGGAGTTGTGATTGTGAGATACAAATTACATCTGATTGAATCTTAAATTATCCGTGGTCGTAAGTAATAACGAGATACGAATATCGTTATTACGGATAAACCATCACGTGTGGCATTTCTTACTTGTGAAGTAAGTGGCTGATCTCACAAGCTAAAGTGTGGTGACACTTAAATGAACACGTGTATGTTTTTGTTATAGAACAAAACATTGGAGACCTTTCGAGAGATTCCACATGGATAACTATTTGAGTGTCAGTGGTTAATCTCTAACGTTCGGTAGTGGAATTGATCCTTTGACTTGAGGTCGTCATAGTACCTTATATGAGGACAGTCATACTTTGACAGTGTTGGATGTTGCTTTGAAAAGGGCCGCTAATACGACATCGTTCGGGTACGTCAAGAATCGTATGAAGATTGTGATTGATCAATAAAGGATTCGTCAC